TCGATGTTTATCCTGAGTAAATGACAGAATAGAAACGATGCGAATCACGTTGTGTACGTTCGCCATGTACTCTGAACTTGAAATTAATGCGAGTTTTCTCATAAAACTAAAAGCATGAACCAAACTAACATGCCAATCACGATTATTATGAAATGAAACACACCTTTTACACGCATATTTTAAAGAATATCGTCGACGCCCAGTAAAAACCAATAAATAAATACCAAGTAAAAACATAGGGAAGGGCTTCATACTCGGGAGGGGCTTATGATCGGGGAAGTACGGTACTTTAACGCAATTGGGCTTTCACTCTCAGAATACTGTGTTTCAAACGCATAAGGCTCTAACCCAAGTTTTAAAAAGCACATTGTGCATATAAAAGTTGAGTTTATACTAATAGTACACAATGCTTAGCAGCATGAACGGCTATGTACAATGGCGTATACGAATGCGATCAGATACTAAAACGTCATAGCTTTGAAAAGTACCCGGATGTTAAATATGTTCGTTCGTTAATTATTCCCCTCCATGAATGGCCTCCATGGCAAGCACTTCAAATGCCTATCCAAGCTACAGTTATAATTAAAACAAAATTAAACCACTGCAATATTATTTCGAATACAGTTTAGAATATACACAACTATAAATTAAGGCCGCATTTAGGTTCGCTTTAACACCATTGCAAAGTACTTTGATTATACTAAGCTCATGTTTTTCTTAGACATGGCTGTCCATATTTCAGTGTCTACAAATCATAAGCCTATATTACAAATGTTGTATCATTATATGCTATTGTTATGAAGATCATTGTCAATGTCTATTAAACACTAATGTTCGCTAAACTAATGGCTTTGGCGTAGCAGTAAATTAAAAAATGTACTATTCTAATTGTTTATTCATGCAAGGTGATGGTGGTGGGAACAAATCATGTCCCGCTTATCTATATGCTTCTGTTAGTCTCTCCCTCCCCACACTTGTTACCATTACACTGCAAATACTTTCTTTGGAAATGTGCAAGTTTTTAAAAATCTAATGGTGTTGGCTTTCTATTTCTTTCTCTCTATACCTTGTATTGCCAAAATCTAATTGTAGGATTTAAGTAGTCAGACTCAGTACGAAGTCGGGGTGGCCTTGAATGGCTTATCCTGTTTTCTGACTGCTTGACTTGGCCCGAGATCTTGCCATGACATAGTAGATTGGTAAGTTGTCATGTGTCTTGCATGCACACATGTTTAATTAACGTCATTGTGTGTAATAGGAAATCTTTCTAGAGGCTGTTCGGAATATCAAAGGTACAATTCATTTTCAAAATTAATTCTAAACCCTAAAAGTTACTGGATAATATATTTAGAATTGTTTACCCGTTCCATTGCTAACAAAAAATCACAAACTATTCAAGAACTATTTTAATAAACAAATAGTACTACATACACCAGCATTATTCGGAATGCAGACCTTGTCTTCTGAAAATCTGTGTCAAGCAAGTAATAGCTCTCCTGAACACAGTAATGCAAGTGATTAAGGGACCTATGTTTAAAAAACCTCTTTAAAATCGACTCGAGAAAGATTTCCTATTATAAGAGTTGGCGTTGTATTTATTACCCCCTTTGCTATATTATTCTGCCCCTCCCCCTCCTTTCCTGAGGTAAACCATTGTGGTAGTAACAGCAAAGTAGTATCTTTTTTTTGTTATTTGTGTGTACTTTATTTTCCTCCTCCCTCTATTCAGGATATCAATAGTGCTACTCAATATGACGCTGGTTTAGCTATGAGTGGTTTGGCTTGTTTTATGTCACATGACTTAGCTAGAGACCTAGCTAACGATGTCATGACTTTGGTAGGTTGGCTTTATTTGCATTAGTTTTGTTTTGAAGTAAATTCTCTTTATTAATTATGTGACAGTTTTTGCAATAGTTCAAAGCATAACTTGAAATAGATTGTTATTCAACAATCGCAAAAAAAAAACAGTTTTTCATCTTGTCAACTTTGGTGATTCGTGAACTAATATTCATCAACATCGTCTTTTTTTGCTTCTTTGACAATTTAAAATGTGAGAAGCAACAGCTTCTTCTCTCTTCAAGTTTTATAAAATGTCCATCTTCACAACGTCTTGATCACTGCAGACACTGCTTCTGATGTTCTGTTTGGTCAGCAGTGGCTTCAATATATTGTAAAAACAGTTGTCCCTAATATAGAGAATTTACAGTCTAGAACATATATGCAGTTAAATCTCCGTTACCAGGACACTGAATTTCTGATTGTCTAAACTAGTTTTTATGGCTCTTTAGCACTTACTATTATTTTCCCCATACCAATTTAACCCTTCCCACATCTAAGTCAACTTCTTTTTGTAGAATGCTTTTTTGTAAATTTTGGTCAAGACATGTACCGATGGAGCAGTGTATCTATTTGGTCTAAAAATAACCAATAACAGAAAAAATAATGACACAAAAAAATGTGTTATAAGTTTGTCAGAAAATGATGACACTCAATTGTAAACTGGCTCCCATGAAGAATTCTGGTAACTGAGGTTTGACGAATATACACTTTGAGAAACTGCTACTTGATTTATGTTATATTGTGAGATACT